ATATATATATATATATATATATATATATATATATATATATATAAGAAATGACAGCAGACAAATGCATCTACACAAACCACCATTTCATTCTGATTCACTGGCATCCACACAATATCTCCCAAAGCCCGTGGCCCCTCTGGCAGCCCCAGAATGGGGAATGAAATAAAGGGCACTTTTAAAGAGACAGCACCACTCACAGCCCCCACCACTTCCCCAGGCCTCTGGAGATCAGCTAATCCCCAACAAGTACAACTGCTTGTGTTTCAGGTTTCCCAGGGGCACAGATAACAAGGGCCAGTGCCCCGAGTTACCAGCTGATTTTTACAAACTATTTCCAGAGGAGAAATGGCTACAGACACTCTGGGCAGTGAGGTCGGCAGTGAGGTTACACAATAGCCACCCACACTGCAGTCACCTTAAGGAGAAATGTAAGAGGACATCCAATCAACTACTCAGAAATTGTCACTGCCTCATTACTGCTGCTGGACAATTCTGGAAAGAATCATGTACATCATATTCTAAGTTTCCACAAAGAACTCAAAGTCACATTTTAAAGTACACAAAATAATATATTTTGGGAGTTCAAGGTGTCAATTCCCCTTGTGTTCCTCCCTTGACAACATTGGAAAAACACCCCTGAATCAATATTAATTAAAAAAGGGGGGGAGTGGGGAAGTTAAGATATTTAAAGACAGAAATAAACATCTTTAGAAAAACACAATCACTGTCTCTTTAAAACAAGACCCCAGCTGGGTGTTATCAGTGACTCCACACTCAAGTGGACACCGTGGAGATTACTGAATAATATATATACTCAGAACCTTTCATTTTTATTACGAACACCTAGGCAGTGAAAACTGTTATGTTAATACATACAGACACACTCCAAAACATACAAAAATACTATTATTTCAAACTACCAAGAATAGGACAGTGCAAGTATTTCATGCTATGACTTTAAGAGCATTACACTGAAACAAACAAGAAGGTAAATGACATTTTTTTCTTTTAATATCGTGGAATTATACCAAAATATACATCTAAGCTTTGGTGCATCACAATCTTTATCAGTTCATCTGTTGATGAACATGTAAGATGAGTCCATAACTTGGCTACTGTGAATAGTGCAGCAATAAATATACA